TTGACGTTTGGTATTTGCGATGATGAGGTAATACAGTACCATGCCACCAATCATCTCGCGTCATGCCCTGCAAACCTGTGTCTTTTTGGCCAATCATCGAAGGATGCAACTTGCGGCCGGCGAAGGTTGAGGGCCCTAAACGCTCAAGTTCGCGACGTCGGAAGCCTTGACGATTTCCGCTGAAGACGTCGGGAGGAATCAAGGTATTGTACTCTTGTGACTAGCATCACAGGATACATGTGAGGACTCCAAGACGACGAAGAAAAGTCCAAGGGGCACAGCTGCCAGCAGCCTTGCGTAGATGGCACGGCGCCACGTGATTGGCTGACGTTGCCGAATTCGCAGGATTTGCTCGCCATCTGGTGTGCCACGTCACTCGCCAAGTGCAATGTCACCGAAATCGCTCGATCTCCATACAAACAAGAGGCTAATTTAAATAGTTCGATAAATACGAAATCTTGCATTTCAACCAGAGCTGGCGCGCTAAGATGGCACTAAGATCGTCATATTTCAACGTTCCACCCAGCCACCATGCCCGCCACACAACTCACAACCGTCGCGTACACGTCGCTCTCGGACGCTGAGCTCGATGCGCTCAAGACGGACGGCAAGGTCCATCTCTTCAACAACATTGGCTGCCCGTTCGGGCACCGCGCGCTGTGGACCGCCGCCGAGGTCGACGCGCCGCTCACGGTGTACGAGATTGGTCTCTACGCTGGGATGCCGCCCAGCTACGTCGAAAAGTTTAACCGCTACCACACCGTGCCTTTCCTTGTGCACGAAGGGTACCCTGTGTACGAGTCGGCGATCGTCGCGCAGTTCTTGGACACCAAGTACAACGACGGGAAGCTCCACAACCGCGACAGCCCCGAGCGCGCGGCGTTGGCGCAGCTGGCTCAAGCCAAGTTTGAGGCTGGCCCGTTCTACGCACTTCTCCGCAACCAAGACCCGGCCAAGAAGGACAAGCTCGAGGCCAACCTCCGCGATTCGCTTGGCGAACTCGAGAAGATCTACCGCGACCACGCGGCCGACTTTCGCGCCGACGGCCCGTACCTTCTCGGCGCCGACCTCAGCAGCGCCGAGATTAACATCGTGCCGTTCCTCTTCCGCTTCAAGCACGTTCTTGGTCACTACCGCGACTTTGACGTGACCAAGGGCTTTCCGCTTCTCACGGCAGCATACGAAGCCGCGATCGCACGCCCGGCGTTCAAGCTCACAGTGCGCGATCCCGAGTACTATATCAATGCGTATGCCAAGTACGCCAACCCGTAAACGAAAAAATGTCATGCAGTGTCGAATTGGTAAAAGAGTCCAAGTTCGCGTATACCAAGTCGATAAACTCTTGAGGGTAGCGTTGATAGAGATCGAGGCGCCTCCACCAACACAGGACGCATGCCTGGGTGTTGTGTTTTGATAAAGGTGCAGAGTTGATGCTTCAGGGATGACAATTGCACTACGTAGTGTGCTGTGCTGCGTTGGCTTCTCAGTATGCTTGGCAAGGAGATTCGCTGCTTATGGGGTAGGTAGTCATTGCATCAGAACGTACAACCTCGTCGGCACGAGACGGATAGATAGATAGATAGATAGATAGATAGATAGATAGATAGATAGATAGATAGATAGATAGATAGATAGATAGATAGATAGATAGATAGATAG